CATTTGCTATTTGAATGAATAAATACCCTTCAATTGAATTTCACATAGCGTTACCGGTAACAATATGTGAGTTTTAGTAATAGGGGGTAATCTTATCTAGGTAACATTACCCCTGTTTTGAAAAATCGCATTTGTACTGGATTTCACATAATATTACCGGTGTTTTTATGAGAGTATATACGGTAATTAATATGTAGTTTATTAAATATTACTTGTTATTAATAATTTAATAACTTAATAAGTAAAGTTAGCTATTAAAATAATAATTATGATTATTATATTACAGTAATATGATAGATTAAAAATTTTAATTATTTCAAAATAAATTATATAAAAACATAAATTATACAAATTGATTTTGAGCTATTAATTTTATATATTGTATTAACATAAATAAAGTTGTGTACAATAGAGATCAACTATGAATTAAGTGAATTATGCTAATTTATTGCATCAGTGTAAATATAACGTTAGAATAATATATTTAATGTAAGTGCAACTAAGGTTGGTTTAGTGCGGGAACACTTATTTGTTATCTTCAAGGGCATTTTATTTTATTTCAAACTTACAGTTACCAACAGAAAGTATTAAGTGTAATATTTGTTTAGTATAATTATACTTGGTATAAATAAGAGTGGCATTTGTGATACGAAACCATAACTTAACTATAAGTTAAAAGTATTTCATTGTTTCGTTCACTATAACTGTGTTCACAGCAAAAGTTACTTAATTTTTAAATATTCAATATCAAAACTCATACAACATGTCCAACACATCGGTTCCCACATTAGCCTATTTCAAGATTCGCGGTAGGGCTCAACCCATACGACTGATGCTGGCGTATAAGGGCGTGAAATTCACCGACAAATACTACGAGGAAGAGTTTAAAGTGGAATGGTTTAAAGAAAAATTCACCCTGGGTTTTGACTTTCCCAACCTGCCATATTACATCGATGGCTCTAAGAAACTGACCCACACTAAAGCCATTATGCGACACTTGGCCCGAAAGCACGGACTCGTGGCCACCGACGAGACCGGACTCGAGCGCCAGGATATGATAGAGGAACAGATGACGGACATTATTGCTGAATTTTCTATGGTCTTGTTTACCCCGAGCTTTGAAACTGCAAAAGTCAAATATATAGCCGAAACACTACCCAAACAGTTGGACGCTTTGTCCCAGTTTTTGGGTACCCGTCAGTGGTTTACCGGTAATCACATTAATTATGTAGACTTCTGGGCGTACGAAATGCTTGATTGGTTCCGAATCTTTAGTCCCGAAACTGTCGATAAGTACCAGAATTTGGTTCAATTGTTGACCCGTTTTGAGAGTTTACCGGCGATTAAGGCATACATGAAATCACCGGAGTTTATAAGTTGACCACTGCTCTCACCGAAGTTTCCCTGGGGTTGGAAAAAGTAAATGTATGAATTTGATTACAATTATAAAATTGTTACTTAAATAAAAATGTCAATTATTTTATGATTAAATAAAAATTTAAAAAAAAGTTTGTTTTGATTAATTTTATTAATATTTGAATATTATCATACAATTTTCACTAATAAAATTGAATTAAAAATTATTTATTTACCTTAATTTAATAAATATAATTTCATCATAATAAAAAACTCTTATCATTAATCTATATAAATGTACAATTTATGGCTACAGTTGCATTTTATATTAGTTTATTCTATACTTAAAGCTTATTTTTATATTTTTAATATTTTTAGTTATTAGATTTAATATAATTATTAAAATTATAATAGACGATTTATGATGATCACCACGGTGTATTTTAAGAGGCCTAATATACCTGTATATTGTATTAAAGGTATTTATTATACATTACATAAAGCAATGTCTCAAGGTTAGATAAGACAATTATACACTTCAATGACTACACAAAGCATTTTACATTTATCAACAGGTATGATAATACAGTGTATGTGAATGTCAAAAATTTACCAAACGTAAATAGTACGTTAGATTTTTTATTTAATACTTGTGCATTGAACAGGGTACAACTAAAGTACATTATTGCATTCAACTTATTTGTTATTATAATTTCATTATACGTGAAAAGTATTTATATCAGTGTTCAGTTAACAATAACTTTATTTTTTATAAGTTTCCTAAATTATTAGACAACATGTCCTACACAACTGTCCCAACATTAGCCTACTATAAGATGCGGGGTTTGGCTCAACCCATGCGACTAATGCTGAAGTATAGTGACGTGAAGTTTAATGATAAGCATTACGGTAATGTGGACGTTGATAATGTGCCAGAATTTAGGGCTGATTGGATGAAAGTGAAATTCACCCTGGGACTAGACTTTCCCAACCTTCCCTATTATATGGACGGTCCAATCAAAGTGACCCAAAGTAATGCCATTATGCGATATTTGGCCCGAAAGCACGGTTTGGTGGCCACCGACGAGACCGGACTCGTACGCCAGGATATGGCGGAGCAACAGTTGGTGGACATTAGGTATCAGTTTATTTTAGGCTTAGTGTTTGCCACAGATTTTGAAACAGTAAAAGTTAAATATTTGGCCGAAACACTGCCCAAACTGTTGGATGAGTTGTCCCGGTTTTTGGGTACCCGTCAGTGGTTTACCGGTAATGAAGTTAATTATGTAGACTTCTTGGCGTATGAAGTGCTCGATTGGTTCCGACTCTTCAGCCCCGAGACCGTCAATAAGTACCAGAATTTGGTTCAATTCTTAACCCGTTTTGAGAGTTTACCGGCGATTAAGGCATACATGAAATCACCGGAGTTTATAAGTTGGCCACTACTTGGAGGGTACGCTCCGTGGGGTTACAAAAAGTAAATTTACATTTATGTAAATATTAAAACAAATTAAAATTATAAAAATTTTAAAATTTCTATTATTAAACTAATAAAAACTATCCAATACATGTATATTATAATTATGAAATTATAAATTGATGATTTAATAACTTAATAAACAAAA